TAAAAAAGTAAATCAGAGCTAAAAAAGTGCAAAAACACAGGCAAATTTGCCTGCATTGGTCTACATATTAAGGGATACGTCCTCACATTGTAGATAAATTTCTTTATTCGTAACAAATACACAAATAAAATCTTAATTTGTATATTTTTTTCTAATATATATTAATAAAAAAATTTTTTTATAAAAGTTTAAATCCTTAAGAAAGTAATTATTATAAAAACTTGAAATCTGACTGGTTGGCCCATAGCAACCTTTTGCTATAAGACCCCCATATACTAATTAATCAAACTCTATATAGGGAGTTATCATTAGTAAAAAAAGATACAATTTTAAATTTTTATTAATATAAATTAATTCAAATTTGATTTTGTTATGTTTATTTAAAAATTCTTTAATTAATTAATACTTTAAAACTGTAACTTTTTTTTACAATAATTATAGTTTGAATAAAGTTTGTACTATATTATCAATTGTTTCAATTAGTCAAAATTTTGCGTAATCTGTCAGTGATTAACCATGATAATTAACCAATCAAATTACATAATTTTTAAAAAATTCATCAGAAAATAAAAAAACTAATTACAAATATATATAAAATATTTATCATATATATATTGAGTATAAATGTGTGTCTGTTATATTTCACAATAATAGATCGGGCATAGTACATAGCTGATAGTTAAAAAATTTGAAATGCTTATAATAGTAATTTAGAGTTTTAAAAAGAAACAAAGAAGGTTCTGCGATTTGCACCCGGATACAGTACATAGTGGGTCTACTATCTAGGGGGATATTGTATTAGGCCATTTACAGTTTGTTATTAGCTATGTCAAAGAGGCCAGAAGCTGTTGTGATCTGAACATTTGCTATAACTAACCTATCTCATTCTTCTTAATAGTAAAAATGTGATCTTTGCTAGAAATTTTTTTTACAAAGATCCCAAATATAAAAAATTTAAATGCTTATAACTTCTGAACTACTGAACCTATGTAGTTAAATTATATTTATTGAACTTTGCTTAGCATAATTTTAAAGTAATAGAGCCTTTTTTTTAATTTTTAAAGCAAAATCTACTTATTGAAGCCTAATTAACTTTAAGAAAAACTTAATTAACTTCAAGAAAATATAAAAAATAGCTTTATTACTTTAAAGAGAACTCTGAGAGGAATTCAATAAAATATAATTTTATATGTATAAGTTTAGTAGTTTAGAAGTTATAATTTAAATTTTTCTGTAGATTTGTACTATTTTGTGATTTAACCAACATGTAATACTCTTATCAACTTTTTTTTTTTTACATTCAGTTGATTAGGTTTTTTGGGCATAGAATATTTTACTTAGAATACTACACACTGATTAATTAGCTATTTTTTGTAATATTGTAATATTTAGGTAAAATAGAATATATATAAAATCTCTAGTAAATTGTTTATTAAATATGAATCGAACAACATAGAACTAAATTTTATTGAATTTTATTTTTTTAGTTTTAGAGTAATAAGAGTTATTTGACTTTATAATGCACACTAACCAGCTTCCTTTCTTGTATTATATTTGTTTCATATGATGAATAAGAAACTTATTGTAATAGCCCTTTAATTTGGACAATAAGCAAAGAACTAGATATATTACACTACCAAATACCTTGAAAGCAAATAGAATTATAACTGACCAAAATACAAAATTACAAAAAATTAAAATTAATAAATATTATAATGCATTTAAGATAATTTAATAAATAACATACCAAAAACCAAATAAGGATTATAATCGTGAGTTGAAAAATATTTTGCAAAAGCATTTGATGTAAATAAAAAAATTATTAAACTATTTGTAAATATCCATGAAAGAACAAAATTTGTTCTAAACAATTTATAATAATCATCTTTCTTAATAACAGCATTTTGGTGTTGTTTATCATTTTGCTTTTTATTTTTTAGTTGAGTGATAATATTGTCATATGCGGTATCTTCATCATCATAAATTTCAATTATAATAGTTTCTTGATTATCTTCAGTTGGCAGTACTTCAGTATTAATATTATCTTCTTTTGTACCCTATAAAACATCATGAGTAGTACAAAAAGCATAAATTATAAGAATATTAATGTAGGAAGGAACAAGTAAAAGGTATTGAACTAAATAGCTGAACATGTACCAGGGTTCCAAATAAATAAAAGATAAAAAAAGATATAGCAAAAATGTTAAAGCAACAGAAATAATGAATTGGTTTAATAAAATAAATAGTTAGCTACAGAGGAAATGAAGATTTTATAATTATAATAAATTTAATAGTAATTTGCACATATAAAAATATACATATTCATGCCTTTTGTGTAATGAGATGCAATGCTAGTATTTTAGATTGTTACATTTATGTATTTTAATTTCTATTATTCATGATAAGCTCAAAACTTAAAATATGATCTTCTGTCAGGTACATGTTTGCTTCGAATATACCAGCACCGGAATCATCATATATAGTCTTACCTTTAAGGTATTTTTTCAAAGGCCTATTCAATAATGCTTCATATCAGTATGTAGAAAAAGCATCTGGAAGTACTAAGATATAACCAAAAACAGATTCTGATGGCTTGTCTAAGATATTAGATATTTTATATTTAAAATTTTGAGATACGATTAAAGGATTAAGAAGGTTTCTATATTTATAACCAAAGATTTACTTTAATTTCTCCACAAGCACCATCAACATGTTGATCACGATCAAAAGCTGAAAATTATATATATATTGATATAAATATGCAAAAGCAATTTAATGAAATTAGCTAATACTAAGATTAAGAGAATGTAATTAAATTTTCTATGCCTATACTCTTTTATTAGTAATCTAATCTAAATCATTAACACAGTATTAAAGTTCATTTTCAGTATTAGCCAAATTCAAACAAAATTAAATATGCATACCTTTTCACAAGTGATATACTGAGGTTTGTGAAGATTTGTTCCCACATCAAGTAAAATACAAATTTTTAGTTCCAAAAGAGCTGCAAAGGCTTTGAAAGACCAACGATGAGAATTTAATTTTTTTGCATTTTTTTGTTTTAAACAAAAAATAACTTGCACTGGTAAAATATTATCTCTTAAACCATATTCCAGGCAAATTTGCCTAAAATTTTAAAAAGTATTTATAATTTTTTAAATAAAATTAAAAAGTATTAATAATATAGATATATTTTATATATACAATATTTTATTTAAAACATATTCTATAAACTTTATTATGAAATTTTTTTAATTTTGCTAGAAAACTTTAGAGTAATAAAAATTTAAAGCTCTTGCTTTAAAAATTTTTACTATAAAATTTTTCTTTAAATTTTATAAATTTTTATATGTTTTCATCTTTAAAAAAAAATTTGCTTCTAATACAAGTCTTAATTTTTATTAGTAAATTATCAAAAGTGTAATAATGAAAGTTGTTATACTTTATATAAACTACAATATTGTATTAAAAACATAGATTTAAAACTAATATTTAAAGAGTTCATCAAGAATTTATAAATAATTTTTTTAGTTAAAATTTTTTTTTAAATTTATTTGTTTTTAGCTTATAAGCAACCCAAACTTTTATTCTTATAATATAAAATTAAATACTACTATAATATAATCCTTATTTTCAAATATTATCAAAAAAATTTTATTTAAATATTTTAAATTTTAAAAAAAGTAAATTATAAACAAATTTATAGCAATTTTCCAGGCAAATTTGCCTAGAATTGTCTACAGTTTAAGGAATAAGATTAATAATTCTTTGACAAAGAAGAGCTATATTAATCACAAGAATAATTATGAGAGCTTCTATATTTTTATCTTCTTTTCTAATATAGTACTCTCTAATAAAATATCCTTTATTTCTACAATAATAGTATACAATGCTACTATTATTACTTTGTTATAAGAAACTTTTATTATTATCTGTATAATAGATAGAAGTAAGAGGAGTATTTTGTTTTTCTACAAGATTAATACTTAATTTGGCTATTTGTTTGGTAAAATATTCAATAGCTTGATTAGTAGTATTATTGATATTATGGTTAGTAATTATAGTTTTTTCAGTTTTTTATTTTCTAGTTTTGGTTATAGTAGCATCCAAGGTGTTATATTTAGCAACTTGAATATTTATAGCATATTCTGGGTATAGTTTTTGAATAAAGAATTGAAAAAGTAATAAGGCAAAAAGGTTATTATTAAGATTAACTTTGGCTTTTAATTGTTTAAAGCAGCTAATATAGGTATTAACTGTATCTGTTTCTTGTTTTATTGTGAAAAGTTGTTTTTGCTATTCTGCTTTTTGTTTAGTAGTGCTAAATTTTTCTTTAAACAGATGAGAAAAACTCTAACTATATAACTATTTACTACTTGGCTATGTTGATTATGATGAAAGTAAATTGGTGTATTTGCAAGACTAGTAAATTATTCTTGTGCATTGTTCTTCATATAGGTAGCAGCTAATTCTAATTGTCAAGAAACACTCTAGTAATTAGCTTTGGTAGCTCTTTTAAATTCTTCTATTTAGGTTATAAAGTTTTGGATTTTGTCACCTTGATAATAATTTATTTTGATAAGTAACTTTTCTTCACCTTGTTCAAGAGCTTCGGCAAGTTGAGTTATTGCCTGTGCAGCAGCAACATCTGCTATATTGTTTAATAGGATTGATCTTTAGTATAACTGGGCAATATAAAAATACTATAAAATTATTTTTTTTTTTTTTTTTTTTGTTGTTTAAGGTGACCTCTTTGGCCGGGGGGCTTTTTATTAGATAATTAACA